CTAATAACAAATGTATATATGGTAATATTGAGGCACCACAACACCTTCTTATTAGTTGTCCTATATATAAAACAGAAAGAAAAGAGATTTTCAAAAATATACCATTATCCAAGATTACTATACAATTCCTACTATATACAAAAGTAGGAATTGAACTAGCTATCAAATTCATCAATACCACCAAAATTGCTACAAGGGCATGGCATTTAGCAAGAGCTCTTGAACAAGAAGAAACAGAGGAAGAAATAGTAGTGGAAGAGGAAGAAGTAGTTGAAGAGGAAGAAGTAGTAGAAGAGGAAGAAGTAGTAGCAGTAGTGGAAGAGGAAGAAGTAGCAGTGGAGAAAAGAGAGGGTAGAGGGGTAACCCTCTTATAACCCTTGATATTCATATTTTCTTATTATATGCAACGCGTATAATAAGCGGGCATTGATCCCCAGCATTTGTTTTCACTTCCCCAAATCGAACATATCTATTTTTGTAAAATAAAAAGTTATCTGCTAGTGCCTATAGGGTCTAGCCGTCCTATATAGTCTTAGACTGAAGATGGACGTAAATTAAATCAATCAATCAATCTAGTAACTAAACCCTTTTGAACGCTAAAATCTACTAGTAAACGCTAAAATCTCAAATCCAATCCCAAATTCAATCCACATTCTTTCTCAATCCCATTCTCAATCCCATTCTCAATCCAATCTAGGGTTTTATAATACTCCGAGTCTCTATATTCCATCTCTCTTTTCTTTCTTATTCCTTTCTCACAATTCCCCTCTCTCCTCCCTTTTACCTTCTCCTATCTCCCTTCCCCTCTTTCCTCAATCTTTCAATCCTTCACAATCTATCTATCTATCCAACTAAATTTCCTTATCCCTTCAATCTTCAATCTTCAATCCAAATCTCAAATCTCAACTCCAAACCCAACTCCAACAAAACATTCCCAATCACCATCATAATTACACATCACCATCACACATCACACATCACACATCACACATCACCATTAATTTTCCCCAATCACATTTTAATTTTCAGTCCCATTTGCATTTCAGTTTCCATGTCCATTTCCATTTCCATTTCCATTAATATATACAATACAATACAACACAATCGCAACCAATACATCCCATCCACCCCATCAAATCCCATCATATCCCATCATATCCCAGCAAATCCCATCAATATATACACTTCGCATCGCACTCCCAAAACTCCCCTCCAAATTCTTCAGCAATCAAATCAGCCAATAGTTGCTTAGCGACTTGGCAATTTCACTCATATCTCACTCATATCTCAGATCTTGCCGGTTTTTCCACTCGAGTATACATCCATCAATCAACATGATGTGATATCATGTCCCAAAAAAAGCAACTCTCTTATCTCAGTAATCTTCTTTTGCAAGTAGATTGCCATCTGTCATAGATCAACGATATCCCCTCTCAACTCACGATCAACTCCCATCACCCCCTTAGCCAAGTAAACCCTTCTCTGTCCCTCCATTTTGACTCCCACGTCTACTCCCATTCCCGTTCCCATTCGTACCCCCACCCCCAACCTCCCCATCCTCCTCAAAAACATACCTCTCCCACCTCTGCGTCACTCTCCCACACCAAGGATCCACCCACTTCGTCCACGCATTCGCCAATCCATACAGTATCACGAACCAAATCAACATCATCGTATACCATCTAACTCTCCCTCCCATTCGCAATACCCCCTTTACCATTTCCCCCTCCTCATTAACTGTTTCCGTCGGCATCGAAACACCATATAACATCCAAATCAACAACGTTCTCAACAACGTCCCATGAATCAAATAAACCGCGAAACTATTTTTACCAAACCAAAGTAAATAACGATGGGAGAGGAAATCTTTACATGAAGGGGAGAAATGTATACCGAGGGCAATTAAATCGAGACCGAGACCAGAGTAATAGCGTGGGATGTCAGGGTCGTTGGGGAAGATCCAGAAAGAGAGGTTGTAGAGGGATTGAGACCAGGCTTGAAGTTCGGGTTTACCTTCTGGGTAGGAGGCGAATATGAGACCGAGGAGGATAAGCGCGGGGGCTAGGTAATAGCGGGGCCAAGTGACGGTGGTAAGCCATTGAGTGTGGGGTGGATGTTGAGAGAGGTCTGAGAGGAAGGTTCCGAAAAAGAATTGCATACCGAATGCGGCTGGAGGATGTATGAGTATTCATATATTTTGCAGGAAATATAACAAAAGTTATGATTGAGAGTGAAAGAGTGAAAGAGTAACAAAATACAAAAATACTCACAATCATTCGCAACATAAAAATATACAAACAACCCCATACTCGACATCATCCTATACCTCGGTTTCATCCCCGCAGTGCCCAACATAAAAATATAAACCAACATTGCCCCCTTCAACAAAGGCAATAGCGTCCACTGATTCCCATCATAAATATTCCAACCCCTCGTCCACGTCGTAATCAAATGATACAACAAACTTTTGACCGCATCACCAAAATACGGCGTAATATCCGGAGAAGTAGCTTCTACCCACCAACTATCACATCGTTTCGCAATCTTATATATTCCAAATTGACACAGGAACCATATGATAACCGTAGCGATGGTGGTTGGTAATACCAAACGAGGCACTCGACGAAAAGCAGAGCGGGAAATCGATGTAAAACACGCAGGTTGATTTCCAGCTCGACATTGACGAATGGGTTTGAGAGCGCACACATAGCCGGTGACGAGAGAGAAGATGGTAACTCCAATGCGTCCCTGGACGATGATGCGAAGGATGGGGAGTTGGAGGGGTCGAGGACGAAGTCCGGCGCCGGAACTGGGGAGGAAGAGATCTCCGTCGAAGGCTCGAGCTATGTGGGTGAAGACTACTAGGAGTGATGCTATACCTCGAAGACCCTGGGTTTTGTTAGTTTGTACTGTACTTTGATAGTGGATGGAATGAATGGGGGAGATGGTGATGAGGATGAGGATAAGAACATAAAACATAACATACGTCAACCCATTTAACATTTTCATGTTTGGCAGTCATGATTGTGATGATTGTGATTGATAGTACCGGTATCTATTTGAAATAGAGAGCTTCACCCTACAAACCGGATATGCATTCGATATAAAGAATTGAGTTTTTACAGGATATACCTATAATGAGGAAGGGTAGAAATGAAATGAAACTCAGACTTCAATTGAAGAAGCCAGTCAATCTTCCCTTCCTTTTCTATCCCAACAATACAATTTGCGGCGAACACGGCAGGTAGTACCAAGCATATATGATCTAATGTAGATGCAGAGAGTGATGATATTGATGAAGATGCAAATGTAAAAGTAAATGTAAATTAAAGTATCAAATTAAAAGAGATGAAATAAAATGAAAAAGATGAAGAAAATCGGATCTGTACTTCCAAGTTAATGTACCTATCAAGGTAATCAATCAATCATATATTCAAGTAACACTGAATTCGGGTGATGGTATAACTTAGTTCTTTTTGGTAAATGAAATATATAAACCAGGATATAGGAGTAAATACAATTCAAGTATATTACTCGTACTGTAATTATATAAATTAGGTATACTATCATTCATCATCGTTCATCATTATTGAAGTACTCGTACATGGGGATATTTACAGTACAAGCTGATTCCGATATCCGACTTGGAAGTGTTTGATTCGTACCGTAAATTCATGGATTCGGAATGAGGGGGTACCTTTTTGTTGGTTCTTGTCATTTCTCGGCATCTTTGATTATCTTGGTTATCTTGGTATTTGGGTTGTATTATTAGATCTTGATGTATTTGGTGGTTATTAGTATTCTGGGCAGGAGAAGGTAAATCAGGCGTGATGGGTAGTAGTACAAGTTGAAGTGAAGTATGTATGAATCGTTACTCCGTAAATACTATATGAGTAACGATACAATACAAGTACCAGTATTGATACTAATCATGATTGAAGTGAAGTGAAGTGAAGTATGAAAAGAAAAAGAAAAGATACCACCTAGGACAAGCCACCCGCTATCAACTTATCCAAGATAGGAAGTAGCACAACGGATATCCCCACTCTTTTTCGCGGGGAGAAGTGTCTAGTGGAATTTTGTTTTTTAGTGTGGGGTGGGGTGGGGTTATGAATTGCTGATTAAGCTTGACTTCGAATAAGTATTCGATAGATTTCTTCTTCTTCTTTCATATATAAAACCATCGTCTCTCACAACTCAAACCTAAGACCATACCATACCAAACCAAACCAAAAAAGAAAACTTCACTCTACCGAATTAATAAAGAAAGCCGTCTTTCATTATCATCATCATTATCAACCCCTGAACTACCTACCTAGGTATACGTAACGCCTTACCCAAGTAATCCTATCATCAGCCAAGAAGTAACCCTATCGCCAAGAAGTAACCCTATCACCAGCCAAGAAGTCAAGAAGTAACTCACCTCATCGCCAACATTATACTAGAACCAATTAAATCATAACCAAACCAAATCACAACCATTAATTCATCAATCCATCAACCAATCAATCCATTATAATCAAATCGCACAAAACTACCGGTTATAGCATAGCAGAGCATAGCATAGCATAGCATGCCAATTCCGATCCAAGCGAACGCCCCTATCAACCCTTCCTTGTCAATGCAAACGCCTTATATATACCTAAGCACGTGTACATAAGCCATTCATTCATACTAATATCTTAGGCCACCCAAACACAATATTCCGAAGAAAAATTTCTGGTCGCCAGAAGTTGAATTTCGGTCTGAATTCAAACTCTACAAAGTCATAACAATATACAATACATACCGCTCCCTATAAGTCAACATAGCGTCTCACACAACACCGCCCAAGGTCATCGATCTGGAAAACACGAATTTCACCAATCCGCAGGTCTCAGAGACACCCTCCAATCTCAAAAACCAATTTAAGAGAAGATAACATACCTTTATCAATGAAATATCACCAATCTTCAAACTGGGAAATAAAGCAAATATTAATATTACAAATCTAACAATGGAAGCTTTTAAGGCCAAACTCGCTGAATACGAATATACTGAAAGAATTCAGTAAAAGGTTATAATTGACCTGATAGATACAATTGATAGATATATCGATTTCTTCGCTGTAAAGAATGAATAAACTGTAACCAGAAAACTAAACACTAGAATTGTAGAAATCCTTCTACACATTATTAACAATAGATCTGACCTATTGTTAAGCCTATCATATATATTATCAGTAACAAAAAGCGTAGCTTTTTTGAAGATACAAATTATTATTAAAATCTACACAGGGATCCTTAAGATCCCCAAAACAAATCAAAACAGAGCAAGTTGAACAAACCCATTTATATCTCAAAAAGCTCTATCAAAAGCCCTACCTAACAATATATACACCAAACAACAGACAACACAAATCACCCAGAGTACAGACTACAAGCTATTAATAGTTATCAACCCTATAGCCCAGATCAGTAGACCAGCCTTATATACACTAAAAAACATTCTCATTGGAATTATCACAAATCTAACATTAGCTGATATCTCCATTATATCTGTTATTAAAACAGAATAGGCTATTATACCAAAAAACCCAACAATCTATAAACTACTTCTCATACAAGAGAATAAGGAAATCATTCTTCGAATCAATCAAAACACACAAGTACACCAATTGGTAATGTAATACAACTATGTAGTTCCCAGAGTCCTAGTGTTGATATACATATTGGATAGATTCCCAGCCGATATTGCAAATCACATAGAAACAGAAATATAGGTATAAACAAACCAATCTCTAATTAGTTATAGATTCTTCTGATATAGAGTTAATCCCTACAATAGCACAATCATGTAAATAATATCCTTCCTTGAACCAATCCATAGTTTTAGGCTTTTTAACACCAGCGAATTAATATAGGAGATTAAGACAAAATCTATTATAACCTGATACAATACCAGTTGCCAGGGCTGATGTAACCTAACAAGATGCACCAGACTTATCCGCTATACAAACTGTAGAGTTCGAAAAGACGTATATAAAGGCCTACAAAAACCCAATTATATAGCAAAAGTACAATATACTAATTACTTCGGACCTTTCGCAGTAGGACACCAGAACTGCTCAGTAATACTTAAGATAATAAATAATAAAGTCACAACATTTATTAAACTACAACTCAAGATTATACAAAAACCGGCTCTGATAATGGAAACAATAATACTTGTTAACCAGAAATCAAAGAACAACCCTAAAGAAAGGCCTACCCCAGATACAGCTATACCCATATCCACATTCATACCCACCTTAACACTAAAATGCTGGAAAGCACAAATTATTGTATATAAAAAAAGCGGGGACAGCCCAATAACAATTCAATTTAAGAAAAAAACTGCAGTATCAAGTTGATTAAGACAGAAACCAATTATCAACACAAACTTCAATAAGAAAACTTTTGCTAATAGTCAGCAAGATATTGAGATAGAAGGAACCCCCCAATCCGACTCATATGAATAGACGCCTGACACAGCAAAGTGATATATATAATCATCAATAGTCCAGAATATAAGATCTAACAATCTGCTGGATAAATATAGACAAAATACTAGAGATCTATGATACCTTATTATAAATAATATTTGAAAACAAATCAGATATTCTATATGTACAGGAACCCTTTATATTCCCATTTACAAAAACCAAAATATATTCTGGATAGATTTTATATATACCAATAGACTTATAGATAAGAACATCTCTTGAACAAAAAGAAACAAAACGATCCCGAATATTGATATATATCAGAAAAAGCACAAAACTACGAATTTAACAAAGACAATTGATCAAAAACTGTGATATATTTTGGATAGATATAAATGGATATCCTATACTAAATATATACCGGGTATCTCGAACAGAGCAGGTGTTAATATATATCATTAGATTATAATCATTCCCAGGGTATCTTATTAAAAACGATTTCAATACTAAACACGAAACATAGCAACCTAAAGCGGAAAGCATCAATAGAAAATGCGAACTAGTAGCCTGGGCGGAACTAACTGAATTGGACTATATTGGAAAACGAGAAGTACCTATTCACTCAGGCAGAAATATATTCGATTTTATCTTTTTCAATATATTATTTGCAAAAACCAAAATACAATACAATCTATACAATGACTCGGACCACTCTATCCTGATAACAACCATCCCAGGTAGAGGACTCAAACCCCTTGACCAATACAACATCCACATTCCAGAAACGGAATTATCGAAACTGGCAGGACTAATAGCTAACGGAGTAGTATATATATCCCCAAGTGACTCCCTAGACTTTTTACAAATTGATTGATTG